ATGACATATACAATTACAACTTACCAGACAAAAATCAAATCGACAGAACGGCATACATATTACAATACGCTGACGACACGGCACTTATTGTACACTACAAAACTACTGAAAAAGCGACTGAAAGACTCCAAACACTAACAAACAACTCAATGACATGGTTTTATAAATGGAGACTAACGCCAAACGCGACAAAAAACCAACTTCTGCTCACGAACCACAGACTCAACCCTGACTCCCTTACAATAACTGCAGACGCCCAAACGACGCAACCGAAAAACGTAAGGTACCTTGGGATAACAATCGTCCACCAACTCAAATTCACTAAACACACACGAAACATCAGAACAGAAACGATAAAAAGAACAAAACACTTTCGATCACTAACATACAAAGACAAAGGAATTAGTACCAATACCGCGACAAAAATATACAAAGCGATCTGCAGACCCCTCTTGGACTACGGGCATATACTCATGGCCAACAGAACAGAAAGGACAAAACGATACGTACAAACAACAGAACAGATTGTACTAAGACTAATAACACGAATAAGACACCCCCAAAACCCCCTGCACAACCTTTCCAACCAACTACTATACGAACGCACAAACATGACAAAAATTTCGGAAAGACTTATACACTTACAGACAAAATGGACAAACAACCCTAACAACTGGACCATACTGCTAGAGCTGCTCCCCTTTGCCTAACAAGACAGGCAAAACATTCCCGTTTTCGTACCCCAAAGATACTTTACTAGAACACCTACAAACGCAACTGAACTAACGACTAAGACATGTTTGTTTTGTGGGCCAGGATTTTTTTATCACGGATTAGGTTATACCAGTGTTAGGAATAGGACTTAATTTTAGAAAAGCTAGGCTAAGACACATGTACTACTCAAGGGCAGAAAGACCGATTGGGTCGATAGCCTTTTTCTATAGGAATAAAGATTATTTATATATATAAATTTATAAAGCAACAACTGCTTGAATCAATTGCCTCTACCACCTCTACACGTTTGTCAGTATATTTATGAAACACCGTGTATATTGTCTTTAAATTCAGATCCGTTCGCAGTTCACGACGCATGCCATTGACGTATAAGGCACACTGTGTGTTGGGGTAGATTTGTTCGATTTAAGATATCTGCGCGAAAAAGTGTTTCGACGCCGATTCGACGTCACACGCGACGCCTGAAGCACCGGTTTACAGTTTGAATTGAACACTTGACGCGAAAACCTGCACCCCAACGGCAATTAAGCAAAAAAAAACTTGGTTCAACTGCTTCCACTCCCGTAGATGGGCTAAAAATCAGTTAAGGGTTAAAGTAACATCTTCTATTATCTGCATTCAAAGCAGCCGGTTTTTGCTTGTTTTATATTGTTCCGACTAAAAAGCGATATCCAAGATGTTGATTGGACTCGTGAGGGAATCGGTAATGCAGTGTTTCTGCCATACGTGCAGAGCACCTTTACCCTCGACCATTGCGACTGGTATGTATTTGCGGCATGTTTTTGGACTATAGGATATAATTTAATTCTATCAGTTTAATACTGTAATCAACACATATGTATGTATGGTGAAATTGATTTCGACAAGGAATACTTCACAAATTTTGCTTGATTTGAACCGAATTGTTACTCCTTACTATTTACTTCATATCACCGACGTTGGAATTTGTAGGTATTTAAAGTAGTGTTCAATAAAATTGCTGTTAACATATTTAGTTACCTGCTTACCTGCTGGTCCTTCTTGACTGATATCTACTAATACCATGAATAAGCCGAATATCCGACCATGCAGTGGGTCAATAAATCCAGGGGCCTGCTAAAAATACCCAGTATGGTAAACCGAAAGGAAAATGCACAATAATTCAAGCGCCATAGAAATAGAATAATGATGTTTTTCGCAAAGAGCTATCGCAGCATGTTATGTGCAAATCACGCTGACTTTCTATTTTGATTCATTGGTATTTACGGTTTTGGATGGGACTCCATACTAGGGCAAGTCTATATAAACGATATTAATTAATAATCTACTTTAACTGATAATGCTTTTTACCCAGTATGGTAAAGTAATTTGTAATTATGGGAAAAAAACTAAACACTCTTTAGGTTACCATCCATTTGCAACACGTTTGAATATCATGTCAAAAGGGCACCTTTGGGTCCCCCAATACCAATACGATCAACTTTGACGCGCGAATACCTGAAAAGTATTTCCCGAATCATATGAAAGAGAAAACTTTCAAGTTTTAAGGGATCAAGATCGGTTAGGGTGTCACTTTTCCTCATCGAACTGATGTCTTGCAACTTTATACGCCCTTCGATCGATCTTCTTTAGGCTTTAGGTCTCCTTTTCAGAAACTTACTTGACGGAAACGTTACCCCAAGTATAGACAAAAAGCCGCAGGGAAATAATCTTTAAATATAACGGGCCATGCCGACGAGTTTGTGGGAATAATCCTTGTTTTATGGATTTGAATGCTACAAGCTCTGGCAACATTTTTCGTCTTTTAGATATTAATTGCAACGTACGCGTATTGAACATATTAATTACATGTAGAACGATCTGCAATATGGGAGGCACTCTATTCCAGAACCTGAAATAGCTCAAGTGCAAAATTCAGTAACTCTACTCTTTAAAATTTTTCAACACAAATCTAAATATTTGTTAAAGTATATGCACGGCTAACGGATTCTGCAAATGGGAAATGCCTTGATTAACCCTTGTTGCTGCTCCTTGCATCTGCGGCATTTGAGGAATGTTGAATTCCATTGTAGCTGTGTGGGTGGCTTTTCTCTCGGCCCCTCCCGTTCTCAGCCCCCATTTTCAGACCCTTTCCTCTTGTAACGCTGCAGCGTTAGCATCCCAGCAACAGCGAATAATGTTCCAAGGCAGCAATAAAAGGGCCTGAAAACCTATTTGTCTAAAACAGCCGTCTACTTCAATTACGGCCGTTTCTTCATCTTTTTCTAATGTATTTACGTTATTATTCAGACTTACTATTAGTTTATATTTATGTCACGAAATTAGTATTTTGTGTGTAATGTTGGACTGTCTAAGGGATATTTTTAATAAAATTATTTTAACACTAATTCGCCTTAGAAGCAAAAATGATAGAAAAATTCTCGATTTCTGGTTTAATGACCCGACTATTTTTATTTCCGCTAAGCTGGAATTTCCCAGTCTGGCTAGTCGCCAGACGTCGCCACCTATTCGTCGCCCTCAAACCCTAGAACTGCGATTATTCATCCCTCCAGGTTATTATGTTATTGGCGCCACACGCCAACATTTAGTATGTTAGTCACTTGGGATTCAACAATGTAATTTTCCACGATTTAGATGAATATGTTACACACTTTATATGCTACGCACTAAGCTATTTTATCGTCCGTTTTAGTTTGGATTTTGAGTACCGAATTAAAATTAAACAATGGTTTATTCATATAACATTTTCAAAGTAATAATTTTTAACAATTACTTCATATTTAAATCTGTCCATCACTTTTAGAGAGCGCTCTCATTAAATTAATAAATCTTGAAAGAATTAAAATACTGCACTGGAAATGCCATCATTTATTATTTTATGCTCATTACATATTTGTAAATTACTTTTAGTATATTTAATATAAAAGCACATATTTCAATATTATTCAGGTTGACCCAGAATCCAGAATAAGATCTCTCGAAACACACAAAAATAGTGAAAAAAGAAGATTTTAAACATAGCTGCTTGAAAACCCTTTTTTATAACTTTTCAAATTATTTGAAATTTTTTTATCTAACAGTAAGTATAATGGAATATTTGGACCCATAAAACAATGTTGACTACTTTATTGTGCCTGGCTACGGCACAGTACAGCCATCTTTTTTACACTTTAAATAAGTGGAATTAAACTCACAAAAAGGCGAGACGGTATTTGGATATCGATATAATGACCAATTTTTGAGAATAAAATAGTTTATTCTTGAAGGTAGCTGCTTTTCTGTGTAGGTTCAACAAGTCGAAGTCTCAATATTCATTTCGTAGCTTGTTTGGAAAAAAATGTTTGGTTTATCAATATCGACATGGAGGATCTTTTTTTAGTTGAAGGTGAAAAAAATTGTCTTCACAAGCTGGTTTATCTAATGACGTTTTTTTAAAGACTTGTGTATCATTAGGAGTTTTTTTGTAAGCATTTGCTATACTAATTGTTTCTGTCATATTCGAATTTAAAAGATTTGAATAAAAAAATCATTTTAAATTATTATTAATTGTACCGTTGTTAGTTTCATAGAGTGTCACCCTATGAACTAAGTCATGAACCGTGACTAAGTCATGAATTCAAACTTTTGAAATTCATTTGTTATGATTATAATACATTTTAAAATACGATTCTTGCTCTTATATGAAGATCAATACGGCAAGTCCATGTGCTGTTAATAAGGATGACAGGGAAAAGTTTTGATAACTTAATATTTTAATTAAATGTTTAGTCGGAGATTTTGATGAGGGCCTTGCAGCTTTTATGGATTTCTTCCATTTCTGTTAAAAAATCAGGTTTTGCAATTATTCTTCTGTTGTGAGAAACAGCCAAATTTGTTTGTTGTGCAACAAACTGTAACAGTTTAATCTGATATCTGGTTTTTAAGAACTATGAAAGACAAGAACTTCCGAATGTCTACAGGGAACTGGTGGTTTTTAGATTCCCTAATTTTTATTGGCGACTGAAATTTCTCATTGCCATATGACTTTATCTCAAATAAGAGCTAAAAAAGTTTCGATTGCCATTTTTCAACTTTTTTTTTAATTCCAATTTTCAGTTGAACCTTGACTGCCGGCCTGATAGTGATAATTCTTAGCATTAATAAATATTTTCAATGTTTACAATCCTTTGAAAGCCGGTTTGTTCTTTTTATTTGCTTGCTTTCATATAAATCACTCTAATAAATAAGTTCAAGAGCAAATGAACTGGAATTTAAAGTCAGGTAGTTTCCGCATAAGAAAATTTAATCCAAGTTTGCTACGTCGACGAGGTAATTTAATTTCACCCCAAGAGGTTGTTTCAAAATAAATTACCCGCTTCTGAATTTAATACTGTCGTACATTTGTAGCAAAGAGGCCCTACTTTTCCCCGTTAATTTTCAGAAAAAGTTGGATGAAATAATAAAAAGTTACGACACTTAAATACATCTAGCAAAGTAAATTCGAATCCACATTAGTGGTATAGGTAATCCATGGGAGAAGTGAATAACTTTTCTAAAAATTCCCAAGACGATTCAACCTTTTTAATACATTTATCTACATTTTGCGAGCAAGAGGAAAAACATAGGCCTTCGGGGAAGCAGAAACCACCTTCAATGTTTTTTTAATACAACCCTATGACTGGTGATTCCCCATTGGAAAGCTGGTAGAATGAGGAATCCGTCGTACTGATCAAGGTTCAGTTTTTAGTACGTTTGAGGGTCAAAATGTCTACAATTTGCTTGTTGGCAGCCTCCATGTCTGTGGTAGGTTTCGTCCCTTATATGTTGCAATATCTGGAGGTCTTATTGGCCCGCAATAGCGTCACTCCTTCCCATTCATCTAAGAAAAATTGTTTGGGTTTTGGAAATAAATGACTTCGAACTGGCACTAGTTGGTCTTGGAGAAAATGCGCCATACGAAGTGCCTTCCAAGTAAAATGTATCTACAATTGTTATTATCCGGTTCACGCGTTCTCTTTAGCCCAATAACGATATTGTTGACGATTTACGTGTCCATTTAAGGTCGTAGTGTCAATCTGGATCATCTTCAAGTAGCTCTTGATCTTCAAGTAGCTTGCATTTTATATGGAATTTTTTTCCTCATATTACGTATTTATTTAAACTGTTTCCTGATTAAGATTAATATCTACAGTTAATTGACGGGCTGGAGCGACTGGATTATATTCCAGAGCAAAGTAAGCAGTAAAAATTCCACTTCTTTAAAAACTTTCACTTTTTCTTCAAAAACTTAATTTTTTTTACGGATTCAGTTAAATAAGACATTTTCACTAAATTACCGCAAGAATTAAAATTGTTTTAACATCTGAAAAGCATGGTTTCAATTCCAAAGTTAAGCAACACACATTTTGAACAATTGTAGCGTTGAAAATAAATTAAATGCAAAATTTATGTTTTGGGTCTCAAGCCGGGGGGTTGCATTTGAAAAAGCCATGTTGAGGGTGATTTTAGATTAGTGAGAACCTGAAGGGTCATATTTTCCATCTCGTTTGTAAATTTTTGGAAAATAATACATTAAAATGTTGACGTGTTACCGAATTTAAGCAAGTTAAAGTTCGCACCTTGTATATAAAAAGTGAAATTCTCAGAGAATTAAGAAATTGCTAGTCAAACCAGCAATACCGATACATTCAAATTAAGTCCTGATAATGATAAGATCACCTTTCATTATTTAAGGGCCAATAGTTTTTAACTTTTCTCAATAGTCCTTAGTTTTTAACTTTTCTCAATAGTCCTTAGTTTACAGATTAATAAATTAAAGAAGTCATATAAAACTATCCAATCGTATACAAGCTTAATCAGATTTTTTTAATAAACTTCTGAAAGGAGTATTACTTGATTACTAAATTTCTTGAAGAAAAATAGAAACGTACATTATACTTGAATACATTGAATACGTTGAATACATATACATTCAAACATACCGTTGAATTTTGGTTCGAAAGGGGAATTAAGAACGAGCATGAACTATGAATTTTTCACACCTATGAACAATCATTGAACCCTCTTGTGTGCGTTGTACACTTCTGGAGTGATAATTTGAAACACAGAAATGAACTCTTATAAATGTTTCATATTTATTGAAGATGTTGTATTAACTATTTTTCTAACTGGCTTAAAGTGGTGGGAGTCCAAAAATTTCACGCATAGCACCAGTCTATCGAAAATCAATGAAATGAAAATGAATGAAAAAAGAAAATTGACGTAATTGGCGAATGTCGGCAATATGAGAGGGGCTTTCAAGCCCCCACTGCCGCACAGGAAATTGATATTAAATTATGTATTGACCAGGACCCTGCTGCGTCCAATAGCAGCCACAAATAAAGAGCAAGTCTATTTGGAAACTATGGACTGTTCGTTTTATTTCAGTTTTTTTTTATATTTGACAATAATAAGTAGGATATCAAAAATGTAAATAATACATTTGAATATTTTGTTAAAACATGAAAAATATATGTTACTTGGAATTGACTACAACTAATATTTATTCTTAAAAAAATTCTTCTTCTGCTATTACCGGTTCTTCCAGTGGCAAATTACAATAATTAAAATAAAGTTTTATGATTAAGTTAGGTAATTGCTAAACAATGTAATATGTAGATTTGGTCGACACGTGGCGTGATAAGCAAAACTGCCTCAACATTTTCCAATTTGTCTTCCATATTTTGGTGACTATTGTGACAATAGTCAGGTACTAGTTCACAAATGAATTTGTAAATGTCTGCTGTTGTTCTCGTACTTGATTTCTATATGTTAGTAACTGAAACATTTTCACGCCCTTTGTTGTCTCTGTTCTAATGATTCTTTAAGTTTGAAAAGTATAAGTTGGTTTGTTCCATTAGGTGTAAGTTTTAGTTTGTCGGACTGGCTGATAATTGCGTCTAATAATGTGTTCGTGTGATGATGCGACTTTTCCAGGTTGTTGCTTTTACCTTTCTTTAGACGGTCGCTAATAATTTGTCTCCTAAAAGTGGGTTTATCGTATATTTTGGTGTGCTAGGGCTTATGGATTGTTATATTATTGGTTTAGTCACTTCCTGGAAAACCGTTTTTTTTATTGCTGAATATTTCTCTTTATCAGTTTCTCTGTGTTTTATTTATGTATGTATTTTTTTATTTTATGTATTTTGTCACATTTTGATAATGTTACATTTTTTCCCAAAGCCAGCAGATGTTTTAAAATTACTCCGATAGGAGTAAATGTGGCTTTGTCTTGGTTCTAAAAAAAAAATCTTTGTTTTGGTTAGTTATTGTAATAGTTGGGCTTTTTGAGTCGTGTGAGTTTCTTTATCGTTCTCTATAATTTTATCCTTATCTTTTTTTGTGTCTTGGCGGACTCCTAACTATTTATGTTGTTTGTAGCTTGCTAGAGTATCTTGATTGAGTCTGTTCATTTCAAGTTTTAGTGTGTCATCTTGTTTCCTTATATATTTTGTACGATTTTCATTTGGGTTTCATAAGACTGTTGAAGATTTGTTGAAAGGCCTTGTGGGGTTGTTATTTGTTATGTGCGAAGAATGTTTTTTATGGTTTATTGTGATGGATACGATGGTTCAGATGTCCTTGGTTATTGGATAAAAATGGTTTCATTTTTTAGGGTAATGCTTTGTAAAGTACTTATTTCTTCTTTCCTTTCAACTTAAAACCTTTTGTATATGCATAGTACGTCTCGAAGTTAAAAATGTGCACGTCTCTAGGTGAAACGCTCAATCCTCCCGTGAAAATCTTGTATTTTGCAATTACCCGTACATACATTGACTTGCAGACCGTCATATTGGATTAGTGAGAATAATTCTTTACTAATTTTAAGAATGAATTAATAACCTTTTCAGAACAAATTTGAAACATTCGGAAATACATTTATTTTAAAAGGTTATTTGACTTTACATTTTAAACATACAAATTTAAAAATATAACATATAACTTACACATAAGTCTTACGGTAAATGTTATCCTGCAATAAGTAATATTTCTATTTGGAATTGTGAAGTATTGCTTGTTCATCAGTTTCATTCGGAATCAGCTCAAAATATATTTCAGTGTGCCTCTAATTTTTCAGTTAACAGAAGGAATATTCCAATTACAAAGGTGAAAACGAAACCTCGAACTTACCAACCCAAGAGGGTACAATTTGTTAGTAAGTATTTGTTAAGGGCGACCTGTTATTATTTGATGTAGGTAGTGTTACAGCATCAACGCGTTTTGAAAAAATGTTGTTAATTTATTTTTCCTTATTTAAGCTTTGTTAATTGTAGATGTGTGTGTTGTGCGTATTTATTGTCACGCTTGCTTGTTCTTAATTACATTTCAAAAAGTCGTTTTTAATTGCGTTAACGTCGTTTAATTATTTATTGAGGGGTTTCAATAAAAATATACATTGCAATTCCTGCGATTTAGAGTTGAATATAACTCAAATAAAATTCACTAGATCATAATATTGGGAACATTCTTAGTCAAATGTTGCAAATGTCGAATGTCGTTTTATTCAAGCGAGTAATGCACTGAATTTGCACAAAATGAAGAAGTAAACAGCCGGTTACCATTTTCATTATACTTATTAGATAGTTTGTAGGTGTGCACATATCAAGCTTTATATTTGTTAATTCCGCTAATACAAGTGTGCTATAGCTAGTTTGGGTTAGACCATATGGAATATGGTCTTGTTGACTCTAATAATACGGCAGGATTATTGATTGAGTTTTGGCAACACCCCAACGTTTGTGTTTTTGTGCAAAATAGTTTGATTCGCACAGACGGTGCAGGCGCTTAGGCCTAATTTTTGCCAAAGTAATTTTCTTTGCCACAGGATGTCTATTTCAAGCAGAAGACAAAACTCACGTTTATTGAAAATACGGTCTACTTTCTATTCTAAGAGAAAAATCTAGGTCGCATTAATGTAATGATTTCATATCGTTACTCAGTTCGTTGATAGCAATCTACTGGGATACTTTTCAAAATGTAGTTTGATTAACGGTAGAATACGTGGTTAAATTCCTGCTTGATTCAACCTGTATACGCTATTTGACTATGTTGAGGCACGTCCCATGATCTGCAATGCGTATAAGAAGTTGTTTGAAGTTTTACACCATTCACCCAGATTTGGCACTCGCGATCTTAATGGCAAAATGCCACACTCTATGTTGCAAATAAACCGCTTTTGTTACTTAAAAGATTGAGGTCATTTTTATACAAGACTGTAGGAAAACTGATTTTTTTACGAATACTAAAAATAGAATACATGGTCGCCCAGATACCTGAATAAGATCAAATTTATGTTTTTTTGGGGAGCACCCTGCATATTATGGAAAATTCGGATTTGACTTTAAATTCTGAGCAGACTCCCTATAATGAACCTTCAACTCTTTCCAATCTATAAACATCTAAACATTGAGTATTTCTTGAAACTCATGATTCATTTCAAAAGAAAAAGAGAAAAATTTACTTGTACTTGTATTTGCGGAGTTCACTTCATTCTTCAAATCTAAATAAAAACAAATTGAACTTTTAGATATTATTTAAACACATCCCCCATTTTCTTGAATACATATGCTATAGACTCGTTCTGTAAACGTAAACTGATTGATTAATATTTTTATTTCTGTGGTTAATGTTTCCTTATTTCTATTCACCAACAATGAATTTTGAAATATAATTTATCACTCGTTACAAAGCATGGAAAGAAAGAAAATTATTTAAAATAGTGAAGTCTGACTTGTTCGCTGGCGATCCGCATGGTGAAGAGGATTAGGGAAATACTAACCAGAGAGAAAACTTTTAAATGGCAGAAATCAGGGAATCGTTTTAACTGCAATAGAGAAACAACGGCCAATCTATAGAACATGTATTTAAGAAAATGGGGAACATGTGGAAGAACTAACTACTCCAATAATTTCAAGAAATAATTTTTCTTAATAACCCTGATAAGTTTCAGGAAAAAGTCGATTTTTCTAGGTCGGAAACAGTCGAACTTAAATATACAATTGATTATGTTAAATCTGCTCCGAATTTGTTGTAGAATCTGAATCTTGTAATAATGTACAGGGTGTTCCATTGAAAAACGTATATGTATGATCTTGTACGAGTTTCTGGACGTAGTCTGTATTATACTTTTGTTATTAGGGTTTCTTACATTTTGGTATAAAAAGCATCCTTCTATTCTTCAAAATAACAAATTTAAAATAAATAAATAAGCCTGTACAGTAGAAATCGTTGCATACTTACAATTTTTGCCAATCATGAATCAAATAATCACTTTATCATTTGATGATAAAAGCAAAAAATTTACCTAGATTATACAGGATACATAAAAAATTGTAAAACATTAGTAAAACTCTCTTGGGTGGAGGAAATTTTGTATTATACATGCAAAGCAATTACTTTCTTTCCGGAAAATTGCCGTTTTCACTGTTTCGAATATCGTTCAGAACTAGAAAATTGTTACTTAAGGCATACGTTTATTTGCAACCGTTTACTTAATATATTAAATGTGCGCAGTATTAAATATCTACTAATAATAATTATTCCGTATTATAAAAGTGAGTCGTTTTTCACCAAAAATAAAAAAATCAATACAGTACAAGTTTCTAATTAATAACATTTTCCATTTTTACAGTCTTGTTGGATCAGGATAAGCAGCATGAACATGAAATAAAATGCTAATTAGAGGTGAAAACGCTCAACTACTGCTAATGCACTTTTAATATTAGTCACTTTGGTAAGAATAGACAGGAAAACTGGCTCTATTTCGATTTTATAAATAGGTAAAGGCTTTACCAGCAAAGGTAAATATCGATCAAATTCAGGGCCAAAGTTGCGGAACTGGCGACGTCGGGTTTGGCTTCGTGACGCCTTGAAAAAGTACCCCCAAACGACGCCGTGGCGACGTTTTCCAGACGGAAGGGCGCCCGAATTTCGATGACGTCATTTTAGCATCATATGACCATTAAATTAATTTATTACATTATTTAGTAATAGGTTCAGATGCTTCTTGTTTTAGTCGTTCGAAACCGCTTTTGGCTTTCGATTTGCGCAGAAATTGCCTGTCTAAACAATAACTGTAATTCTTGCATCATTTATGCGAAGAAAATAATCCTCCCAGTATAACATTAGTTTTGGTTTTCTCTTGAATTCAATGTAATTCAATTTTTTATATTTTTATAGCTACCGAAGTAAGATGTCAAGAAAAAACTCGAGGCGGAGTCCGTTACGAGGTAATACTTGGGGAACCGGACGTAAAAGCAGACCCTCCAAAAAAGAAGATGTCCCCTAGGAATTTCGTTTCGGTGCAGGACATCGAAGACAAATTGAAGGCTGCTGAGGAACGCAGACAGGTATTTATTTTTATATTAATATTTCAGGCTGAATTCTCCCCTCGAATTATAGTGGGGAAATCACGATGCTCGAAATACATATGCCTCGAAACACATATGCTGGGTGGTTCAAAATTGACTTGGATTGTGGAAAATAATATAGGAAATATGCTAAAACAAAATACTGACAGTTATACTATGTTCCAATAGAACAACAAGAAGCAATTGAAAAAATATCATCTGCATTCCTTCCCATTCCGTTTTATACTAATATTTTTATAGTTTTTAATCGAGGATTAATTTGATCAAGGTTAATTTGCGCCCAATAACAGCTGACATATACAGTGTGAGTCGGGAGGATTTTGGAGACTTTTGACTGAAAACTCCTATTTCTATAGCAGCTGCACGAAAACTGATATCGGTCTTTGAGTGATTGAGGCGATTTTTCTGACTAAATTATGACAAATACCTCCACCCTTTCAGAGAGACAAGTTTTTTCAGAAATCTGCACTTTTGAAAAGACCTTTTTGTATCTCGATAGTTATAAGTAACTGTTTCGATTTCTTAAAGTTAGGAATGCGTCTTACAATGCTGCGCGGTAGGTGGGTGTATCCCAGAAAGAGTTCATTTTTAGCTGCTTCGAAGCTAACTTTATTTCAAAACCAAAGATTAGTGTTTTTGATACTGCAAAAGCAGAATTCTCACATCAATTTCAGCTGATTACCTTTAAACTTACGCCTGTTCTTTGGGTTGAAAAACTCACAGATGCAGACAGGCATGATCAACAAAATTGTTTTTTCCACCTTGCAAGGTGATTGTAATGATGTATTTGCAAGCGATTTTAACTTCTGTTCGTCAGAATAACATTATGCAACATTAACTACCAAATAACGTAGAAAAAAGTCGCTATGTTATCGTCATATCACTTCACTATAACTATGGCGCATTTTAAGACGCGCAAAAAAAGGAAACAGGTTTTTTTGACTCCTTACCTTAAATCATTTACTTGTATACAGGGTGATTCAAAATTGTCATTCCTTTTAAGGGATGATAGAGGCCCCCTTAGGAAGTACGAGAAAAATATTGAAAATTTGTTTTCGAAAATTTTTAGAAGATGTTAACAGTTGAAAATCGAATTTCATCTTTGTTATTAAGCATTATTTTGAAATGGTTTCATGTTTAATTGGTAGCATATTGGAACACTTAAGCATTCAAAAAGAAAAATTACGATCTTTGCTTCAAATTACGAAAATTTTTGATATCAAAAAAGTTCTCTTCTGCAATTTTTTGATGAAAAGGCACAGCGGCAATGATGTTTTTTGTCATTAACAGATAGTTACAGGTGGATAGCCCTTGGCAATAATAACAATAATTTGTAAAACTGTGACCTACTTTGAATTTCGTTTCACGAATTTGCGGATACTTTTTTCTTTCAGCAACTGGAATCAAATAAGATGGCCGCTTTATCAGCCAAAATGCAAAAAATTGAAGAAGCCAGTCGCAAGAAAGATGAACAAACAAGCCAATTCATCACTGCTACTAGACAAGCCCTAGAACAAAAGATGGGCACTGTCACCGAAAAACGAGAAGCTTATATAACCGACTTGAAAACAAAATTGAAGGTAAATATGCGAAATCATATCTAGACAGAGTTCCGCATTATTTAGTCGATTTAGGACCACATTGAGAATGTCGAAAAGACGCGACACTCTTTGGAAGTGCAAGCCGACGAAGTGCGTATGGCTATTGAGGAAAAACTGAAAATTGCGTCGATTCAGAGAGATGAAAATATTAAGAAGATGTTGGATCGTCTAAAGGAACATGTAAGTTGCAACTCGCGTTTATGTGTGCTTCATAAATCTACTAAACAATGTTGTTAAGCTTAGTTACGTCGGAATTCAAACTCCTAGAAGTAAACTATGGGGTGTCCCACTAAGGTCGGCACGGTAGGATACAAGCAAAACCGTCAAATTTTCTCTTAAATATACTACGTTGAGATACGAATTGAGTAGTTTTTCAGTAGCCTTTTTCGGAATTTTTACATATAAAATAATATTTGCAGTCTCCAATAGTAATTTTAGAATGTCAAAAAGGTTTTGGCTCCGCCATCTTAATGGAACGCTTTGGATAAACAATTGAACTTATTTGTGATTAATTATCTAATTGATGGGTCTACTGGATTACAACAAAGTTTAGTAGATGAAACATCATTTTCTAGTATAGGTAGTAAATCTCATTGCACTGTACAAGCGTAGCTTTTCTTATTTAATTTTTCACATTTTCGATCTACGCCAAAAATATAATGTGTAAGTAAAGTTATGACAAGTATATGTTTTTCACATAAACACGCGGGTTATTTATACGCCATTATACACAGGTTATTTAATGCTCTTTTCAAATGTATATCGCAATATACATACCTGTTTCTATTTCAAATTAATTAACAGTGCAGCGTTAAGTACCTGTATAATTCCCGGTTCTATACAGGGTGTGTCAGTGAGTGTGCATCGAAAAGGAACTCATTTATTCTAAGTCGTATGTGGTATATACGAGGGTGTATCAAATATAAACGGGACTGAATGATTTTTTAATTTATTGCTTCGTGTTACCCTAATTACGAAAACATGTCTTTCCACATAATCTCCTGCCCTAGAAATGCACTTTTCTCAGTGAATTGGAAGCTCATTGCACGCAGCCACTGGAGCACAAACTCCACTAGCGCTTGATCGTCATCATTGTCGTCAACAGTTTTTAACGGATTGCATATGTAAGATTTTTCTAATGGTCTAGAGTTGATTAACTGACACTACAAGATTCGTTTGGACTAAATTGACTTCTTTAAAATAGATTTACGCGGCTTTCTTCAAATTAGCGTTTTTTCGGCGTCGTTTCGTCTTTACGCCCTGTGTTGTTATCCTACCGTTACTATTGCAATAAACTTGGTTGGAAAGGTTTGACTCATCACTCCACAAAATTCGTCGTTCGGCATTTGGTACATTTAATAACAATCGACAAAATTCCAGCCTTCTCTCGGAATCCCCCGCGTTAAAGTTGACACCCCCTAAATCGGTTATTTTAAAAAAATTGTAAAAGTGACCAACACAAAAGTTGTTAGAACGGAAAGAAGCGGGTGTGTACACACTGAAGATGTGACAATAGTGTGATTATATACACACTATATTACACATATACGTCTTTGATTCGGCGAAAGTTACTCAAATTTTTTAAATCTGAATTTAAAATAAAAATATAGAACACGAAAATGTCAAAATTTGACAGTCTTTTTTTTATATAGCCCTATATATTTTTAGACATACCAATACGATTTTTTTTCCTGATTTGAAAAATATATATTTTACTATTTCCTCCCCCCGATTATTTACTAACTTTGTATTTTATTTTCTTTTTATTTTACTAACTTTGAATTAAGTTTCCTTAAATCAAGGCCCATTTATTCCATCGTTTGCTTTAGATCTCTTTTGTATACTGTTGAGACACCCTGTATATAAAATTAGTTTTCAATTTGTTGGGATTTCTAAAATACAACATATAATTCTGGTTATTCATCATTTTTTTCTGCCTTCATGTTTTTTGTTGTGCATGTTATTTTTGCTTGATTTAAAGGAGGATCAAGTGCTTAAAGTTAAATCTTCCAATAACGCCAAACTGCAAGAACTTGGTAACCAAATTCAAGATAAACTGGTTCAGGCTCAGAACCGCAAGGAACAAATGGAGCAGGAACAACTAGAAAAACTAAGGAAGAATGTAAGTACTAGCTGGTTGCTTTTCCAAGCCGATGTATGTTTAGCTCATTATTTTTCATCACCTATTTTTATATGCATCATTTCACTTTATAGATGGTTCATCAGTTTTGGCTCAATTGTTTATTATCAACTGTTGTCATTTGAAGGTTTTGTCTTTTTCTTATTTATAGTTTATTGTAAAAGTAACTTTGTCAAAAAAGACAAATCCTTTAAACATGCTTGTTCTGTTTATGTTCGAATCATGTAGAACTTGAGGACTATCGAGAAGCAGAAAAGCGTTGAGTCTTCAATCGAAAATCGCAAATCTGAGGTGATTAACTTGCTCGAGAACAAGCTGTGCATCGCTGAACAAATCAGAGAGAAAGAGATTCAGAAAAAACTTGAACAGGCCAAGAAAAACGTGAGTAGTCACTTTAGATGACTAGCATTATCATAGTATATAAAAGTAGTTCTCAAAATGTATGTCCAAAATTAGAGCTTTGGAATTTAGGAAGCAAAGGCTTTCATCTAGGTAAAGCAAATATTTTTTAATCATGCTCTTCAACTCCTGATTGATCTTCTAATTGGGTAATCGAATGTACTATTTGAGCAGTAAAAACATTGATATAAAATCCTACTGTTTTCAATTAAATTTATTTTCTTCAAAGAGCAAAGAATCTTGTCAGTGTTTCACATATTTTTCAATGCCAAAAATGAAATCATGAGAAACTGTGAAAATGTCACGTTGCTTAAAGAACTCAAGTTTTTTGAACAACCGAGATAATTGCATAGTGATCGAAATAGACCAATCTGAGGAAATTCTTGAAAATATAGTGAAAGCCAAAAATTGTTTTTCATTCCCGTTCTAAAAATTCTGAAAATTTCAAAAAACTTTTATGAAAATTAAGATTTATTTCTCATGATACCAACCCCATTAACAAATACTAGAAGAAATTTGCCACCCTGGGTAATTTTATGAAACATCTAATTGCATCTAGTTGCTAACTATCAACTAATTGCTCTGAAGCAATTACGAAAAACAACTAGCTTAATATACCAAGGACATTAAATACGCTTTTATCGCATCCAGAATGAACACTTGACTGAAATCAAACAAACGTTGGAGACCAAAAAAACTGAGCAAGTGCAAAAACTTGAAAGTAAGCTATCCGCTGCAGAACAAAAACGCGAAGAGGAAATTAAGAAGAAATTGGAAAATATTAAAAAGCGAGTACGTATTCCATCACAGGACTATTTTACCGGAATCTGGCAAATTATTTGTTATTTCTTCTAGGAGAAACACGCCGAAGTTGTGCGTCAAAACAAGGCCGTATTGAGCGCCAAAGATGCCGACAAAGAAGGGGAAATGGTTTCTTCTGGTTAATGGGTTACATGTCTAAAGTAGTTATTTATGTCAACTTATACTCTGCTGCTTATGATCCAGTTGGCATACTTTTTGAGAAAATAATATCATTAGAGGAACTAGTTTCTAGTCCTCTCGATTTATTGCTCTTAGACTGAGGTTTTTGTGATTATTTTTTCATGTTCGATTATTATTACTGTTTTATTTTTTAGTTGTAACATTTTTAGTGGAGTCATTATTATTCAGTTATTTACAAATTTAAAAAATACAAGGTTTTCATAATGTGTGAGTTTTTTAAGAGTCCGTGATAATTTAAAATTTGAACAAATTATTAACTAATAAAAGTGAAAAGTAAATACTATTTCTACCTGAACGATTCAACTGAGCTTTGATTTTTATTGAATCGCAGGATCTTAGAAATATACTGTTTGAAATAGAGGTAAGCTAATACAATTATCTAAATAAGGAAATTAATTTTTGAAAACGTTACATGACCAGCTAGCTTAGCGAACTAGATATGGATAAGGAAAATAAAGCTTAATTTTTATTTTGCGCTGTTTTGTAGATAGATATTCCAAATTCTTCAAGTGTTGATAATTTTACACTGATATAAACGTCGTGGAATGGGAAGTAAATAAAATGGGGAAATATGAAATGTCTGCTAACAAAAACCTCAGCAGGCAATTCATATTTTTTTTTGTATTCTGTGAGTTAATGCCTGTAAAAGTAGGACAGATGCATCTGGGAAAAAGTGATAAAATTAGATAGGGTTTTACAACAAATTTGTAAGGAGGTTTATGTAGTTAGAGATTAGTATATTTTCACTTCATTATTTGTAAATACCGTAACGTAATCCGATATCCTCGCTGTATTGCCAATTTACCTAAGATTACACCGTTTCCACACTTACGCTATTCGAATCGATTCGAAAGTACGACAAATATATTTCTTTGAAGTTTATTGCGAGCACACCATTGGAATCGACCCGTTTCTAAAATTGACTGATTGGAAACAACGCTCACAGACTAGATGTTTAAACAATAGCATGATACATTAAAGACAGAATGATGAACTCAAAAAAATTATATACACGGCGGTAGACTTTCGATCCTGAAGCGTTGAACATTACATCGAACCTGCAAGAATGATAGGAAAAGTGCAGTATAACAACATGGATAATTGACACGATTTATTTCTGTTTCTATTAATAGCATCTTTATGGTCGATTTTAAACCACCCTTAAGGTATGGTAAGCCAATTCGAAACAATAACCGACTGCGTAAAATCAGTCCTTTTTGCTGATTAGTTTTCACGTATATAAAATGATTGTTCAATGTTTGTTTTATTAACTAAGGTGTAAGTTTGTGAAGTTTTAGAGGGTTTTTTCAGGCTGGGGTGTGTTATGACTTTCGATTAAAATGTATGAAAATTTCCTATTATAAAAAGGCTGACCAACCATATAAAGCAACATTCTGTTTGTTCTAAATTCTAAATCTTGAAAAAATAATAACGCGCCAGGATCTTAACAGGTTTTCAAACATTTTACGAAAACCATAAAGAAAACAGAGCGTTTAAAGTTTAAATGCACTTTTCTTATCGTTTTCACGGATACGATGCACTGCTCCAATTCGTCTCGACTGAGCCACCCTCATATCTTGCCATATAAAAAGTATTTTAAACGTCCTTCTTACAAGCCAGAATAAATGTTGCCATATTAAAGTAGCAAGTAAATTTTGTCACAAGTTATTGGTTCTTAACTCGCATATCACCCTGTACAAATGAACAATCGCTAACATCCATTCAAATTGTATAGTGCACTGAAATTTTATACATTTAGAAATAGGTTGCACTTGCAATAATCCACCCGGTTTTGTCGTCAGTCAAGTGTGTGTTTTAATATCTACAATAATACAGTATTAACATTCTTCGTAGTCGAAGCTAAAATAAACATACAAACTATTTTCGCATTTGATAGGTTGAATGGAAATGGAATATCAAGTTTTGAACAATACTAATTCTCAATATTTAGAGCTGCTTTTCTTGTTTTTAATCATTACTATATTATACTAACTAAGACGGATGCGACTGCTTTGCGATGGACAGCTTGGAGTGTTTGCTAAATGAACGTTAACTAGCTCAATATTAGTGTGTTGTGGTGTAAGAGATAAAATACATTATCGTATGAGTATTCGGGTCATCAAAATATTTTATGAGAATGAAATATCGCAACTAAATGTCGTTAAAACATCCAATTTGCTGTTGAACTCAGTGATGCATTTTCATAAATGTTCTGATCTTATTCAGCTATACATTTCGATTAGTTGAAACATGTAATATAAATGGGCTATAAATTATAGAAAATATGCTGGCTTCTGTGATGAGTTGTTCCATTATTGAAATATCGTATTGAATAAAATAAGCATTTATAGGTTGCATTTAAATCATATCATGTCCGCTTTAGCAGCATTTCAAACATATTAATACGTTGTTTTCCGATGACATTTTCTACTTGTAATATTGTTAGACGATATCGACAGTTGCACTTTTTGTTCGCTTCCACGACTTATTGTGGTATATTCTAGCATTTTGTTGTTGTAGGGTCCACCTTGATGCACTTATCTGCAAGTGTACTAGCCATTTGTTATCAACGTATTAATAACATACTGTTTCCCGATTTGTTTTAGTATGTAATATTTTTCTTTAACAACTGTTATTAATAATGCGTACCTTTAATTTTCCGTTTAATAATGCTTCGATAATAAATCCATATTTAAACCGATCTTATGTTTTATTTCGCAAGAGTTGAATGCATTAAAATAGTAAAAATGTCAGTATTTAATTTAACTTACTGTTAAAATGTGATGAGATGGAATGTGTGATGTTTTGGGCATTATCCGGCTGAGGCGTTGCTGTGTAATAAATCAAAAAATGCACGATGTATTTCTGAAGAAAATCTTTAGGAAACTTGCCTCTATTAGATTTTGATGTGCAAGTGCCAGTTTAAAAATTACCTGAATAATTTATACTGCATACTTAGAGCCCCTAAGTGTGCAAGATGTGTGAAATAAAAAAAATATAATGTTCACCTTCTGTTTTTATTATATAATATATATATATAGATTTACCTTAATTACGTACGATAAAGCAGATTAGTTGCTGATGAGCCCCAGGAAATCATCCATCAAAGTTCCAATTGCAAACTGAAAATAGTAACAAATAAGTAAAGTAAAAATTTCCCATGTGCCGTACAACCATCCTCTTCACGCGTCATTACCATGTGGGGTAAAGTCAATATTGAGAAAATATTGATTTTTGAGTTTTGCAAACTTCAAGAAATTAATTCATCAATATAGATAATTATCTTTAACATTTTAAGAAAAACAAAATTAATAATCATTGTTAATAGAGAAAATGTTTGTTATTCTTTTCAATGCAGCTTTTCAGATATTAGATATAATTAGAAATCGTACAGACGGTATTCAGATCCCCTTTCAAATAAAATACTAAAACCTTTGCAGTGCGCCACTGAGCACTTATTTATTAACATTAAAATTTCACGTTCCTTTTGGTAACTTTTCCGTTTTTTGCATCTTTTTCGTGGCTGTAACCGTTGTCGAGTATCTTCCAAGTCTAAATATTGTCTTCGACATTTTGAAAATAAATTTCTGAACTAAATTTACAATCTGCCATAGTAACTGTAGTAAAACTTACGATTCCACTGGCGTCTACTCGTGTACCCACAATCTTAAGTCTGATTTCTCCCTCCGCATGGATTACTATATCTTCCTCCTTAGTTTTATAACATTGCGGATTTACATTGGGACAGAATTCCATTTCCGCTGGGATGGACTGAAAAACCATAACGCATTACTTCCACAGAATGATTCTAAATTAGAGTTTTCTTTATAGCGGCTTAAAAAACCTTCTTACGAACAAACAAATATATATATATTTGTTCTGACATTAATTTTGACGGCATTGGAAGAAAAAGTAACACCATTTGATTGCAAAAGTAAATTTTTATGGCTTGAACTATTGTCAGCCTAATTTAGCTTAGTTACAAAGCACAAGCGCGCGCCATAAAAAGTAGGTACCCCTTTTGATAAAATAACAAACTTCACTGCGCTAATCTATTTCAATGTAATAGACTCGTGTATTTTACCGTTTAACCGAAAAATCAGTTTCGAAGTACATTTCTGAATCAATAGATCCCATGTAATGCATACATTTTTCTTGATTACCGATATTTAAACATCAAACCACAATTAACAAAGTATTTTTACTTACATGATGTGATATGAAACAGGATAAGGGGCCGATCTCTGCAAACATGCCCACCTGTAAAATAAAACGTATTTGTTTAAATAAGAAACCATGTTGAAATTACATAAATATATCCTTCATTGCCTCAAAAAAGCATTTAATAAAGCAACGATGTAGTTGCCATGCATCTCTAATATAAGCTAAATAAGTGGCGTTAAACAAATTAACATAATTTTATTTTTGATAAAAGGTTTTTAGTGAATTTTGTACAAAATGCGCCACAAAAGCTTACAAAAACTAGTACTACTCTCAAATCTATTTTATTTGTAAAATTTGTTTGTATTTTATTTTTACATTGTGCCGGTGTATTATATGGATGATACTGTGGGCGTAATTCAATTGGTATTGTTTATTAAAACTATATAGGTCACAAGTAAAATATCTTAAGTTTTACGCTGTTTCATCGCCAATTAATGTAGAACTGGAAAAAGTTCTGCATAAGTTACAAATGGAATTGATAGATGTATGTACAAAACAAATATAAATATTATAACTTTTATCAAAGTTTGCTGATTTTTTACAATTAGTCACCATGCAAAGAAAATCTTGCCACTTTTTGGAAGAACCTACTTATACACATTTAGGAATGTTTTCCGGGCTTTGAAGCCGTGGTCTATGGGAATTCCTTCCTGACGTTTCGTCCACAACTGCGGTGGACATTATCAAAGGCGATGAGGCAGTGGGCGATCTCCCGTGCTTTCCGACTAAGAGACTAATGAAGAAAAGAGGGACATGGTAAAAGTATTAGAGTTTTGCGAAGACAACTTGTGTGAGAGCGTATGCGTTTACGCGGCGCGATACCCAAATCGACACGTTCCAGATTATCGAACATTTGCACTGATTGAAGGTTTTTATCACTTGGTTTAGAAAGACTTTAATTTTTGATAAAAAATGTAATCGATGATCTGCGGCGGATAAACCATAATTTTATTTAATTAGTTACTTAAAATTAATTTCCTTCGGTGTTGCAGCGACAAAATTGAGACGTGAGTTAACAATCAATAGCCGAGAACTTAAAAAAAATAATTATTTATTACAAAAATGAGAATTGCGATTGTTAACATTTACATATTATGTTTAATGCAAATTGCAAATTCCAGAAGAAAAACAAATTACAACAGATGATCGATAAGCGCGCGATTTTCTTGGATGCATAGTTGGACCCTTCGACTGAAATTGAATTGGATTATTTTTAAAATTTCTGGATCATCCCGCATTATGTTCATCTCGTTTTGAATTCTACATAATATCGTTTGACGGAATTCCAAAGACGTGGCGTAAACTTAATTCTTTAAAGCTGCCCACCAAAAAAAATTCAATGGTGTTAAGTCGGGGGATCTGGGAGGCCATTTGACAGGAACATATCTCCCTCTTCTTCCTATCCACCTGTGTGGAAAAGTATTACTTAAATGGGCCGTTACAGCAGCCCTAAAATGCGGAGCACCATCATGTATAAACCACATCTGAGCACGAAGATCGAGAGGCAAGTCTTCCATTAGAACCAGAAGTGTTTTTCAATAAATTTAGATAATTTGCGCCATTCAAGCGGCTCGGCATAATAAGTATAAGGCCCAACGAGGATGTTACCGATCATCCAGGCCCAAATAATAATTCGAAATTCCGTCGAAAAGTGAATAGTATGCCTTGCATGAGGGTTTTCTTCTGCGAGATAGTGGAAATTATGGGAATTGACATCACTTCTGGCGAAACCGGCTTCACCAGTGACCAAAACTATTATATGTATAGAACAGTTTCCTAAATTCAAAGGACTAGTTAACTAAAACCGTCTGTGAAAAGCGAACTTGATATGATATAATATGATATGTTTCACATGATTCTTGAATTCTGCTAATCAAAATTAAAAAACTGTTACTTAGAAAGGTCGCTTCTCGAGAAATAATGTACTATTTTAAAGTCTAGACCTGTAGCTGGTTCATACACTTTAAAACGCGAAGTAATCTGGAGGTAAGAGACATTCTTTCGATAAATTAATTATGAAAAAATTGAAAACTGATCTGAGAGTGTCACTAAATCGCATCTTGAGTTAACATTAACAATAAATGTTGTTGGGAAATGAGTAAATAAGATCTATTTGTTTCTCCTGCCAACCACATAAGTTAGTCTAGGGGGCGATGTGACAATTAGTTTTTTATTTTAAGTTGTATTTGTTTCTAGTAACTAAGGTAATTGAAAAAAAACAAACAAGACGTGTGTAGAAATAACGTTCTGAGCATTATACATTTAATTTTGCCGACAATCGGGTTTTAATTCGTCAGATAGGAACGCGCACGAAGAAGAAAATAATAACCACCACCAATAATAACCAAAATAATAACCAAGTCCACTTAATCATTCATCGACAAATGTATTGACTTGTCGTTTATGAGAATTTTGCGATGTTTTGGGGACCTAGTTTCAAAAGTGTTTCTAGTTCCTAGTTCTTTCGCGAATCTTATGAACAATCCTGGAGTTTTTTCACTTAAACAACTTACTATCAAGCTTACTTTATTTAAAAAAATTGAAATTCTGCCAGACATAATTATGTCTGCCGGCCATAAGTGACTCCCGAACCTTACAGTACATATTGCACATATAAAAACGATTGCAAAAAGGCAATGGAAATAATATGTAATATCTAACCTTATTGACTTGTCGCACTACCGCATCCAGAACCTCTCCTTTAAACGGCCTAAATACTATGGCTTTATATTTTACTGGGTATACTACAAATCCTTGTCCAGGAAGTATAAGCCCAGCTCCTATATGATCAATAGTAGTAACGGCTATTACAAACCCATACCTAAAAGTGAATATCCTGTTTTATCAGATAATTAAAAATGATACAACAACTAACTTTCCAGTACAAGTTCCTTCAACTTCAGTATATAATTTGGTTTTCACTTTTTCGAGCAATTGAGGCCCGAAATATTGAGGGTGCAACAAAATTTCATGTTCTAGAGATATCTAAAGTAAAAATATATTAAAATGGATGGCTATGAAAAATGTGTTAATTTCTACATACATGGTAAAACATAGTAAAATATGTACAACTATTAAGCGTGAAGCTAACGGAGTCTAGCAGAGATGATTCTAAACAACAATTCGAAAATGGTGTTTGAGGTTAACTGCACCATTGTCTTCTTGGAATATAAAACTTATTTTCATCTTCATGCCGCCCCGGGTCCCTGTTTTGAACCAGAGATTTTTAGTGATAACTCAATGGATTTGCCCATTTGACACTTCAGCTTCAGACTTCATAAACATATGATTAATGTTTGTAAATTGAAAGTCCGTTCTTTGTTTTACTCTTAGGTTTTACTTAATTGTGTTGGAATTTCAGAAAATACGCACTTGCCTACGAAATAAAAAACGTCCGTTTTGCCTTTATAATAATCATCATAATGGATGACGATATTCTCACAACTCTAAAAATTTTAATAATCGGTGAAAGTGGAGTTGGTAAATCTAGCCTTTTACTACGATTTACAGAAGATAATTTTGATCCAGAGCAAACGTTAACGATAGGAGTTGATTTTAAAACAAAAAAGCTAAATGTAGAAGGAAACACTGTGAAACTGGCAATTTGGGATACAGCTGGTCAGGAACGATTTAGAACGTTAACACCATCGTACTACAGGTTGAACAGCGTTGTTAGATGGTGGTACCTTACCTTACATTCTATGATATTTCAGAGATGCACAAGGGGCTATTCTAGTATTTGATGTTGGTAGCCAAGCAACATTTGCAAAATTAGAAACATGGTTAAATGAACTTGAAACATACTCAACTAAAAATAACATCGTTAAAATGATAATTGGCAATAAGATCGATGTGGTAAGTTGCATTGTTCAATATATTTCCTAAATGCTAGAATATATAACATTCGAGGACCATCGGGAGGTTTCGAGAGAACAGGCCATGGCATTTGCAAGAAGACACCAAACGTTATACATAGAAGCTAGTGCCAAAACTAAACATGGAGTTCAAGCAGCGTTTGAGGAATTGGTTCACAAAGTATACTGCCGTTTATTAGTAACGATCTGCAATTTCGAGTAATGAATTTATATATTTTTAGATTATTCAAACACCAGGTTTATGGGAATCTTATGATGCCGGCAATATCCATGTTGGTACTAAAGATCATACAGCTCGAAGTGGATGTGCTGCCTATTGCAGCTTAGCATAAAGTTAAGGTATCAACATTAATGGTGCATTCGTGTGTTAATTTTATACTTCGTTAGATACAGTAAGTAAAAAACCTGAAATTATTTTACAGAAGTAAGTAATTGATTGTTATTCAATACATATATTTTCTCACACTTGCTGTAGTTCGAGTTACATAGCGACCACCAAATCATAAACATGTTAATTTTCTTATACAAGTTTTCTAGTCATTTTTGTTACATACAATAATTATACAAAAAAATGTCCGATCAGTTCTCAATTCAAACTTATTTTTACATTGTATACCTAGTCTTTAAAAATAACAGGGGTAATGTATGTATTGGCTATTGCTGAGGAAACATTTATAAACAAATCAAATGTATGATGAAGCTTAGTACATCTTCTGAGAGCCGGCTGTACTTTCAGAAATTCTAATTTCGCTTGAAAAAATATGAACTTAAAACCAGTAAAATGTAAATAGAAGCTAGTGAACATTATCTACAGTACTATTATCTAATTACTTTGTGTGTTATAATCCTTTTAAGTGATTAAATGTCTAATTTATTTTCTTGTAATATATTTTTCTGCCAACGTTAGCTCTCATCGTTCGTAACTAAAATAATACATTAAACAGTAACGCAAAATTTGCTTTTAGCTTACGAATCTTACGAATAACTTTTATTTTGTTCCATAATTCTGTTGTAAAGTTGTCATAGATTAGCGCGAATGTAACTGAACTTAAATTTTGTAAGCAAAAGCTACTTCAATTTTAAGTTTTTCTTATTCTAAGTGTTTAATTTAAAAAAGCCGCTAATAAATACTTAGATAAATTTAACTCCAAAGAAACTAGGACCATAATAATAACTGCAGTCATCCTCAATAACATTACAAGCTTATAAGGAAACATTTTTGTTTAATTTTCATTCGTCGTAATTTCGTTTTTTCCAACTTTTACTCATAATGGCGCTTAATACATTTGCCGACGCCAACGGGGTATAAGAATTTGTATCAAAAACTACTATCATTTGTTTGTCATTTCTAACTAATTTATTATATTATTATTACTAACTATTAGAATCCGCTCATAAAGATGTGTCTTTTACAAGTTACTGACTTGCAAAAATTACAAAAATTGAGGTCATTTGCTGGACTGTACTAATTAGAAATTGCAGTTTGCTCACGATGGTTTATTACGAATAAAGTAGACAGTAACAGTAATCAAGATCAATAAATCTAATTTTTAAAGAATGAAATATATTTAATTGAGTCGATTTATGACTTTATAGACAAATCGTTAAGATACTTATTGTTCCCAACTTTTTACGTTATTTCCTAAATCGTCTTCGTCGCGCAAGTGGATTTCATATCTTGATTAGTTATTATTTTCACCCTCAACTTTTTTTTAATGTTGAGACGCTTGATGAGCGCCCAGTGATTACATTTTTTATCACGTTTAAGCCTGGATCGATTACTGTTTTATTCGTCTATTACGAGACTGTTTCCACCAACGGAAATATTCGTAGTTTCTTTCTAATGAAAATTGAGGATAAGCAAATAGCGGCCATCTTCAGGTTAATATTCCTTTAAATTGATGTTTTATCGTCTGTAGTGTGGTACAAGATGATTGAAAATTTCAAGTTTAATTATCGAAAATAGCAGCTCCTACAGATACAATTACAACTGTGTTATTATCCAATTGTTTTAGACGCTCCCAATGGAAAATTGTAAATAATTTTCTATTTACAAAAATTATGTTTCAATAAAAAAAGCACAGCAGCAAATACAGGTTGATAAACACGTCAATTTTAGATTGGTTTTTACATAAATGTCCTTAAAATGTATAACATTAACGAACATTCTTCAAGTGTACCTTTCTTAGGGAGCCTAAGTACGTGAAATCTACATTATAGGATGCAGTAGTGTATTATTTTTTACAAGCAAATTGATTTTACTGAGAAAGTTGCTGCAACTGAATCAGAGCTCTATTAGCCAAGGAACTTTTGCTTTAACGTAAAACAGTGATATTCAATACAAACATTCATGCGCTGCAATTGAGGAATTTTATCGTGAAGTGACTGTAATGTTCTCATTGGAATTTCCGCTTTGCTTTTTATCTCTCGAACTTAATTTAAATAGTAAACTCAACACAGATCACAGAGTTCAGCCTAGCTGAAATTATTGTTAAGAAAAAGTACACATTTTTTATGTTGCGGTATAAATTGGGGCATCCGTTCTGCTCAACAATCGTTTACCGGATATGCTGAGAATAAGTTAGAACGTAAGTCTCACAAAGTGTAATATTTTATACTGAGTTATACATTAATGCTTTTTTTTTACCTGATTAAGTCAAACATGAGAAGAACAAAGTTTAGAATATCTATTATACATATACACATGTATGTATCTTTTATAAGAACATACAAACAGATTTATTTTTGCTTTGAACTGATGTAAATTGCAATTGTTTTCTTCTCCACAGGATCCAAATCACAAACAATAGAACGGACCATTCGTGTTCAAATGTAATTTTATCCATTTTTCAACCGTTTAATAACGTCCATTTTCCTTTGATCTAATTTCGATTTAGTTTCCAGCATACTCTCACATTCTGGCGCATAACAAACGTGTAGAACGCCTCCATAGAAAGACCTGTTGGAAAACCTATATTTCAGTTTCTTATACAGGTCAACATATAAAATATCTATGAAATTTTATAGTAAGTAATATGGTCCAAAATTGGTTACTTCAATATGTTCCACTTTACCACCATCTTTCCGGTTTTTTTATTTGAAACATTCATTCAAAATCCAGATTATACGATTTTCCACCAAGTTGTACGGTAACAAAATACACATTTAAAAACTTAATTAGGTGACTGTAAAACGCCTTTAATAAATAATGACTTTACTGACCTTTGATCCAATAGCCTTTTAGCCCTTCTTGCAGACTGAATGTTTGTAAAATGCACGTGGAAACATTCAGTGAAAACCTCGGTGTCGACCTCTTGAACAACAGCAGTCCTATCTAACTCTCCATATCTAGCGCAGAGATTCTTCAATTCTTTTCTCAAATTAATTTGGGGCACTCCATAAATGTACAAGTGCTGGGATTCATTATTAACCGTATAAGCCTGAAATTATTCAAGAATAAGTTCGGTTTCGAAAAAACAAATAAAATATTACTTACCTTAATTGCTGTGAATTTTCTTCCTTGCCTGTAGGCTGGTCTAGATGTGCAATATGCTTGTTGTTGATGATGTTTCAATATTTTCTTTTTCTGAATAGGATCTTTCGGCATTTTCTTAGAGTAGTAATCTAAATGTGCGAGTAATTTTTAAGCGCAAAAACACTAAACGCCGGCTTTAATTCTACCAAAGAGTATTTAGTCTTTGGCCCTACAAACACTCAAACTAAATAATTTATGCTGTGTGTTTATCAACAAACAAATCGATATCGAGCAGAGAGCAGAGATCACGATCACATACACAGAGGTAAACTCATAGATAAAGACTGATAAAAACTGTCATATCAAGCACAGATAGTGATGGGCGAGTCGGAACTGAATCCCGATCTTTGAAAAGACCCGACGGATCCGGATCTTCAAATTTTCCAAATATGGGTCTCGGATCTTTCATATGTCTAGAAATAAAGCAGCGTGCAACTGTAGTACAACTTAGTTAACATATTATTTCAAAACTTACAAAAACGAAAAGTCGAGTCCGAGGCAGGGTGACCAGGTGTGGCGATTTATCGCCAAATTGGCGATTTTTTGCTTATGTTGGCTCTAATGTTTTTGAATTGGCGACTGGCGATTTTTTGGCGATTTCTCGAGTTTGATTTCTATTAGCCTGATATAAAATAGCAGTATACTCTTAAAGATCTAAGCTCTTGTATCTGAAAGCTGAAGTTTAAATCAAACCTAAGCATATTAGAACCTTATACTTAAAGCCTTCGGGTAAGTAAAGCATATATGATTTTAGATAATCAAATATCACGTTATTTAAGACAAATTCTTTCAATTCCTCTTTAAGAATAAAGATGCATTACTATGCACATGATATATGCTGTTGGAATTTTAATTCTACTACTGATATGATTAAAGATTTTACATCAAACGTAATGATCAATAACGAAATACTGATAGTAACGTCAAAGCGATTGACTTCGTGTTAAAATGTTAGACCATTAGTATGTGAAAATTACTGGATTAAAAAAAAATTATTTGTCTCATTAATAAATTTTAGACACACAACATATCACAACATATATAATTTCAATTCAACTTGTTAGAACAACTAAAATTCTTGTAAAATTTAAACCGTTCCGCTTTGGTTTTATTGGTTTACACCGTTTGAATTTACTCGGCGCCAAAACCGGCGACTTTTAAGGCCCGGTTGCACAAAAGCAAGTTTAACGATGGTTCAACTGAACCCTCATCACTGGTGAACCGGAGTTCAATTTTCACGGGTTGTACTACGCCGATCTGAGCTCGGTTCAGTTGAACTCGACTGTTCAATTTTTTCCTAGGGTTGGCACTTTCCAATGTCGGTAAAATGTGGTATATTTGGTTTTCTTTGATGGGCAACTATGTCCAGCATATTTGAACTCAACCACATCCACATGGTCTGATACTGAATTGATATATATATATAAGCAAAAAAATATATTTTTCTTTGGTTCAGTAGATTCAGTGAAACCTTTCAATTATGGAAGCCATTACGAAACCCGCCCAGTCTACGAATTTTACGTCGAAAGAAGAAAATATTTTGCTGGCTTTAGTCAAAAAGCACATATCGAGTATACAAAAATGGTGTGCGTTACGGGACGCTCGACAGAAGTGATAACTTCATATATTTATAGAAGCCATAAAATATTGAACTTGTTTAACGCATCATGGCAATAATAATTTTATTTTCAATTTCTAATATTCTTGTTAGTCTAATGATTTGTAAATGGATCAGGAATAGGTAAAATTTAATGTAATTTCCTTTTCATTGTAAAATATCTTTTTTATTTGCAACATTTAACATTCTTTAACGAGCTGTTGTACATATCGCTCTTCTTGTTTTTGTGTAAACTCTTCTTCTTGAGTTTCTGTATTTTTCAGTCGTAATTTCTTATTTGCTTGGTTATAATCTTTGACGTTCAGTTGATGAAAGCTACTTTGAGTTGATCTATTACTGAATGCTCCTGTTTTAGCACGAAATCGTTTTTGGAGTTCAGAATTACTTAATACTTTTCGCATTATAGCATGTTTTTGTGACTGCTCTTGTGTATGTTGTTCATGAACGTCTGCTAGAACTTGTATCTGAACAGGACTAAAAAATCAATGAATTTTGGTGATTGGCAGACGTTCTATCTGTTTAAAATAGACGTTAAAACGTGGAAGAGCTATAGAGACAGGATACACTTGACACACTATATGTATACATAATGTAAGCCATCGCACGTATGTTCAAAAAAAAATTGTAACTGAACTAATCCAAGGCTAAAAAAGTTAAACTAAATTGAGAAGATTTAATCATAAAGGAATCAAAGGAAGGAAAAAGAATATGAAAGGAAAAAAAAATTGATGCGTGGTAAACACGATTAATCATTGAAAATAAGCCCTAATAAATTCGTTTTACATATTTTGCAACTATAAGCTGTAGAGAGATTCATATCGTCTTAAAATCAATAATGCGTTGCGTGATAGAAAATAAGAAGACGGAACCCATGTTTTCTGAAATAACCGAGGTAAACTCAAATATTTTTTCAATTAAATTCAAGACATATTTATTATATATTATTAGAAAACAGTAATGATGTTTATCATTTTATGTTAAATATGAAAGATTAGAAAATAGATATCTAAATGTTGATAATTTGTTGTTACAAAATAAAATAACAAATAATAGAACATATTATTGCATTAAAAGTTATTAGTAATAGTTGTGACACTTTATTTGCACTTAAT